AACGTTCAAAAGCAAGATTAGTTTTCCTAAGTTGCGAGATAAATCTTAAGTGTTCAATACCAAGATTAGCTCTCAGTGTTCAACAAAGATAATCTGTAGGGTAGGTGTCCAATTCAAGATTTCTTTGGTCAACTCCAACCATTGGAATGTAAGACAAACTGTGGTGATAATGAGTAAATCCACGTGAAGCGCATTCAATGGTATACGGATAAGGCACACCTGCCAATACAGTGAGTAAGATAGCACTGGAAACATTCCGCTCAAAATATTGCTAAAATTGAAGATGTGCATTATTATTTTATTCGAAGCTATAGTTGTTATATTATTCAACAATTTTATAGAACAGTTTAAGGATAACCGAGCAACTAACTTTTTTTTCATAGCTGCAATACTTTAAATTTTGTGTTAGCATGGTTTTCCGAACCTCTGTCGCCAAGGGGGAAAAGAAAAAACACACACACAGTTTAAGTGTCTTACACTTGAAGAAAAACGGTGATTTAAAACTCTTCATATCATCTTGATGTGAAGAATTATTCTTTTTTTAAAAATCGCCAATTTGGCAACATTTTTTCATTATGATGAAAATGATCAAAATCACTACCCATTCTCAGTTACTGAAAATTCTTAAGAAGCAAGATAATAAAACATTGAAGTAAGTTTTTAAATATTAAAAAATTATATTACAAACACTTTTTTTTCCTCACAAAACTGCGGCTTTTGCCCAATTGACGTTTTGCGACAATTCCAGACTAATCAGAGACAGCACTGGCTTTAGATGAGCTAAACTTGTCCAAACAGTCTTGAGTAACTGTTGCAAATTCACAACAGTTAAAGATAAAAGTGTAGAACTATCCATCGATACTTTTAGTCCATATGTATTACTGTTCAAATCAACAATTCCATTTACACATTTTGAAACATTAATACTACAAAGCTGTTCTTTCTTTATTCGAAGTTATTACAATTTATTTATTAGGTAAGGCTACAATTAGATTTAACGTTATCATATCTGTTATTAAATCATATGAAATTATCCATTAATACTTCAATTGGGTATACTATAGCCTACGTCACAGATCGTGTTATTCCTACTAAATTTAACTAGTAAACAAGATACTTTATCCTACAAGAAGAGATACTTTATCCAGATTTATAATTTACTTAATAAGTCTTATCCTAGTAAACAAGATACTTTATCTTACAAGAAGAGATACTTTATCCAGATTTATAATTTACTTAATAAGTCAAGAATTACATCTACAAATTCTACAATAAGCTTAACGATTTAATAGATCTAATGTGAAACTATCCATCATTTAACTATCAAACTATCCAATTTAATCCATAGCTGTAAAATTCTTTTTAAAAGTTTTAATCATAAGATTTTGAAAGCCGACAGCCATAAGACATACGAACAATTATGATTTTTTTTCCAGTTCTTCTAGGGAAATGCAACACATTTTTAATGGCAATAAATAGTACTGAGGAAATGTTTCAATCCAGCGAATAACGCAATCTGATTTCTTAAGTCCAAAACGCAAAAAGTACGGCGCAGCTAATCTTAACTAGTATGAAAATCTAAATACCAGTTCGAAAATTTAAATAGTATGAAAATCTTAATACGACACACGTCATCTTAATAGTATGAAAATCTTAATAAGGCAAGCGTCTTCTTGTGCATATTGTGATTCTATGCGAAAGACTGGTATTAAAATAATGCCATTCCGCATGGCTATTGAACGTCATTGTCATATAATTTGAAAAGTTATCTGTATGTTAACAGACCTCATTGTTAGAACATAAAAATACTTGTCTCGCCAAAATGTGATCGAAACTGCAGAAACAGATTAAAATTAAACTTGTTCGAAAAATAAAAATTATTATTTTTTTTTTTAAATTGGCGTTTAAATTTTTATATGACTCTCTCTCTCTCTCTCTATATATATATATATGGATTGTTATACATACCACCACATTTTTCGTTAAAATTAGCAGTTTTTTGAAGATATAAAACTAGTTATTAACTTATCAAACTTTCTGTTATTGCATCCGATTTTTCTAAAATTGACTGCATCGTAGTATATNAACAACAAATAGGAAACAGAAATATAAAATCCACTTTGAAAGGATTAAAAGGTGAGAAAGAGCAAAACCCTTTTAATGGTAGAAAACATTAATGAAATAAAAACAGGTTTCTGTACATCAACAAGTGCATCGGAGAAAACCTATAAATGGAGTAGTAAATTTTAGATAAATAAAAAATAAAATTTTGACAGCATGATATTAATTATTCTTCTTAAATACCATCGAGGCCAAACAAATATTTGTAATGGATGTTAGAATTATTTAACTCGAATCTCAATAACTGATTACTGTTACTAACAATTCTAAGACTGGTTACTTTTTAGGTATGACGTAAAAATTTTCCAGATTTTTGCAAAAAAATGCAGCTTTTCCTGACCATTCCCTGCTTTTTAGAGTCAAAAATAAAATTCCCTGACTATTCAAGATTCTCCCTGACGCGTGAGAGCCATGTCAATTTAACATCCTGTGAAATATATATCAAATATGCATTTTGTCATGGTTCAAAATACCGGAATTATGGTTCAAAACTGGACCCTTTTTTCTGAATATGTAAATAAGAATTAATAAAGCTACTTTTTTCTTGAAATCTCAGACAAGTTTCAATTCTGGTCATTTTTTGTTTGTATTTTGTAAAAGCCTTAAAACTTAAAAGTATTTTTTTCTCTTTTTTTTTTTTAAATTTTTGATAAATCAAAAAAATTTTATGAAGAATTTGTTTCCTCTTATTTTGACGTTACAACATTTAATATTAAGATACAAAACATTATCTAAATACATCTTTACAAACAAAAACAGTGCGATTATGAAATAAGAGCATTTTTGACAAAATTCTTAAAGGAATGTGTTTTTTTTTATTTTTCCTAATTTTAAATTTTTAAAATATATTTTTTTCAACATTAATTCAAAGACAAATTTTCAAAAATAAAAATAAATAAATAAAATGAAAAATTAATAATATTATTTTTTTAATTTAACAATAAATATTCCAGCATATTTAAGACAAGTATTAGGAGAGCAAACATAGCCGCTTTAAAAATAGCCTATTTTTTATTAGTAAGGGCCAATAAACGTAGAATAATTGGAGAAAAAAAAATCAAAGATCCAAAACACTAAAAAAATATTTTAATACTGAAATTGTTTGATGGCTTTTTTTTTATTTTTTTTTTTTACATTCAAATCAAAGGGATTAATTTGTTAAAAAAAAAAATAATAACAATAGCGGTTTAAAAAAACTGCTACCTTAGACAACTCAAAAGGGTTGTAAACGCAAGGGAATAGGTCAATATTTTGTATTCATCTTTATTTAATTTTTACAAATTCTTTATACTCTTTCGAAAAACATAAAATACTAAGCAAGCGTTATTTTAAAATTTTCTGACCATTTTTCCCAATAATTACTGCCTAAATATTATTATATTACATATATATATATGCCTAGATATTATATACGCCTAGATATTATTATTAATCATTTTGCTTTCAAATTGCTGAAAAATATTTTTTATTTCCAGTAGTATACTTCATAAAAATGTTACTCAGTTTAAGATTTAGTAGGTCTAAACAAAATTAAAAGCTAGCAAATGTACAGAGCGAAAAAGTACTGGTCAAAGTACTGGTAATTTTTAACGGAACATGTTTTACAGTAATAATAACTGAAATTACTCGATCACTCGAATAACTCAAATAACTGAATCACTCGAATTAAATTAATATTCCTGTTTAAGTTACGGTATAATATTTTATGGTAAAAATTGGAAATGTTTACGGATGATGCAAGAAAAGTGCCGGTACTTTATACCGTAATTTGATCCAGAATTTTTTACTGTGTAATTTAGTTGGGGAGAGAGATATATATTAAAATTGTAATAATGCATACGTTAAACTTAAATAAATATTAGTGAAAAACATTAATCGCATTTATGTAAAACAAGCTTTTTCTCAATCAATAATATATTCAGAATGAATATTTTAAATTAACTTTCCGTTAATGGGACATCAGACATAAACATTAAATTTTGAAATATTAATCTTAATTATGATGGCAACATTAAATGTAAATTACAGTTCACACTGCCAAAGAAATCTTTTTTCTTCAACTGTTACGTTCCTTTAATTATTCTAATGTGATGAATTGTAATTTAAATAAGTAACTATATTAATGGCAATGATAATCTGTGGATGATAAACTTTAACCAATTATGAAATAATCGATCTCTTACTTTCAAATGCGCAAGAGTTAAATTTTAACAGATGATGTTTTTTAAAAAAAATAAAAATATTATGTCGATTACAACAGGCAAAAGAACTTGGTAACTATAAATTGCAAAAGATGATATTTATAAAAACTTAATAAGAAACGTCTCAAATAACCACAGGAACAAAGGAAGCCTCATAAATTATTTTTCACTGACAAACTATGAAATTATTATCGAAGAAAATCAGCAAAAAACAAGTTGCAATATTCTTAACGATGAACCTTGTTAAGGATCCCATATTTAACATGTTATCATTATCATGTTTCTTTTTTTTATGTATAAAAAAAAAGAAAAAAATTATTTTTTTAGTCATTAATAGGAAGAATTCAGTGAAGTTTCATAAAGATAACTATAAAAATGTAAACAAAGCACTTAAACTTAAAAAAAAAATAACCCTTTTAAAAATATATAAAACCATCTTAAAAAAATAAATAAAACATTATTATTTTGAACCATAAAAAAATTTCCCAACTTATTTTTCACTGTCAAACTATGAAATTGTTATCGAAAAAAAATAAGCAAAAACAAGTTGCAATATTCTGAACATCAGATATTTCTCCGAATTATAAATTTCAAATGTATTTCTACAATAAGTCAAAAACAAAAAAAGTGGGAAGGAAAAAAAATGTGCTAAAATAAAATGAAAAGTTAAGCACCAACCTGCACATTGTTAATCCAACACACCATTTCACATTTTGCAGCTAAGTACACACGAAAACGATCTAAACACAAGCAAACGATAATCTTCGCACCTGAAGCCCGAATATCTAAATTCGAGCATTGTTGGAAACAAAAAATAAAAGGATTCCAAACAAGCACTTTAACAAAGACGCTTGAAGGTAACAACATAAACACTTGAAAGAAGAAATCTATAGAATCCGGTAAATTATCAGCCAGAAAGAGCTTCGAAAATGGAAAAATTTAAGACGCTCTTTCTGGGGACAACCTCTACCCGCAACTGTGACTGTGAGACAAATGGCACCAGGTGTATACTCTGCATGGAACAGCTTCCTTTCTGAGAGAAAGGAAAAGGTGGTGGTGGGGTGGACGCTTCTCTGTTGAGGCCCACAACAAGGTGGAAAAAGGGGCAGGAGTATATATCTTCGCAGGGGATAGTACCCCAGGGTTTAGATCGTTTCTTTCCCCCGTCTTTTTTTTTTTCTTCCATCCCCCGTGGTGGAGCATCCTACATCATCACAAAAGAGGGTTTCGAATTTCTTTCTTGGTAATGGTGGATAGGAATGTATCATTGGTAAGTTTTAAGTATCTCATTCGATAGAAAACTAGAACAGTGATTGGTTGTCCTTTTTGTTCTTTTCTTCTTTTTTTTCTTGAATCATAATATAGTGTAAAAGAAGGGAAATTTGTAATTTCTGAGTTTGAACGTGAATGACTAATATGCTAAGAATAAATATTCTAGGAATTTAGGAAGAAAGAATGATTAGGGAATTTCAAATATATCAAATTCTGATAGTTGGACACTGGAATATATCCGCGTCGTGATCTGTCACGCCAACTACAATCGCCAAGGCGCCAAATAGATTTTAAACTTCCAAATTTTTTAAATTTATTTTTCAACAAAAAAAAAAAGCATGTAGATATTTGCCCGGGGGTGGGTACGAGTTATACCTTTCGAATTGGTAAATTTCGGTGATCTTTTATTTTTAGTTTCTCGCAGGTCACTGTCCGGAAGTTGCCAATTATTGTGCCACAGATCACGATACAGAAATCTCCAAGGAATTGCTAAGAAAATCGAAACAGTATAATAAAGAAAATGATTCGATCTACTAACTGTGTTAGTGTTTATAATTTTGTTACGTCAGAAAAAAAATTAAATACAATTATTTAGAGATTTAAATAAATTCAAGTAAATGAAAATGAAATTACGTTGAATTAAAGACATAAATTCCTATTCCCCTCGTAGAAAGTTACCATCAAATCAAATTCATCAGCAAGCTACAAAGAGTTCTCGAAAAAAGTTTCTTACAAAACTAATATTTATATTAATTTCCTAAACTAATATATAACTAACTAGGAAGAAAATTTCGAATGTTTTATAATACTTTAAAATAAGATATAAATATCCATTAAATAAAAATATCCATTAAATAAAAATACATTAGGAACATTTTTTATTAATAGTAACAGAACATTTAACTACTTTTAGAATAAGGGAAGGAGCTCGAAATCTCAGAAGATTTGTTTTTAAAAGTATTTAAAAACAATTTTTTACAATAATTATATATTTTATTTTTTAAAAAAAGTCTTTAGACCCATGATTAGCAAGAATTATTTTTCTGTTTTGATCTATAACGAAAATCTCTGTTTCTAAAGTTAATTTTATGCGAATTAATTATTTTATTTCAATTATTTTTATTATAAATGTAATATAAATAAAACACAACAATGTGCCATTAAAAAATTGACTTGAAATAATTGGTAAGAACGAAAACAAATTGCTTATTATCGATACATTTCGCATAAGAAAATAGAAGTTATTTCTGTATTCTGTAAAAATGTTGCACGATATCGAAGATTAAATATTGATATCATCGAAAAATATCGATGGTTCACTATATCTCGCTATATTTTTTTCAATTTAACTCATTTTATTTTTTACATTAGTAAATATTCTTGCAGCCCTGATGAAATTCATCCTAATATAGTATTCCATACTTCTCGTTATCGATAAAGCTTGAAACATTTTTAAGTTAATTTTTATCATTGACGATAACAATAGCGATTTTACCCTTGTAGATATTTAGCAAAATCGACAATGATTGCGAGATTATAATCGTTGACAATTATTGTATATTCGATATTTCAGAATTAAATTCATGATAAATCGTGAATATTTCAAAGTAATGTTGACGCGATGTATAAAAAAAAAATCGATATTTCGAGATATATCACCTATTATTCCTTAGCTTTACTTCAAATAAGAAAGTCAAGTGATAAAATCCGAATAATGATCGTAGTATTATCATTGATGATAATTATTGTACATTCGATAATTATTATTAAACGCTGTACTCACGATACATCGTGACAATATAATTGAAATATTGGTATCGCAATTATAATCGTTGATAATTATTTTATATTCGACATTTGTCGTCGGGAATTGTACTAATGATATAAGGTGAATATTTTCAAAATAACATTACCACGATATTTAAAAAATATCGATATGTCACGATAGATCGTCTAGTTTTATTCAAATCATTTCCCCCCCCCTTCAAATAAAAAAATCATGTGATAAAATCCAAATAATGATAACAATATTATCGTTATTAGTGTAGTCTAGCCGACAATAATCGCAAGATCATCATCCTCGATAATTATTGCGTCTTCGATATTAATCGTTAGAAAAGGTATTCACGATATATCGTGAGAGTATTATCGAAATATTAGTATCGCGATACTTGAAAAATAGTGATACATTTTTATTTTAAATTGTAAATTTAGAAAATAGTCTTACGTTATGCACTGATTGCTTTTTCTGTTCTGAGAACTTTTTTTCGAATGAAATAGAAGTCACGTGATAGGGACCTAGATGACTGTGATGAATTCGAGAATTAGTCAAGTCTTTTGTCTCAGGGGGGAGGTGGCAGGAAACGAGACTGGATCAGCCGAGTGCTAATTGAGGCAGAATGGGATTAGGGGGTCCGGAAGTTTTAATAGCCCCAGCACCTATTCTCGTTTCGATAGCGATTAATGCACGGGATAGTGGATCTGTCGCATAAATTCCTATTATTACAGACAACAAACGGGGATGGAGCAGGCGAGCTTGATGCGTCAGCGTTCTCTTTTTTTTTATATGCATTCACGGAGATAATACCATTAACATCAGAACTAAGCGGTCAATATTTTTTTTTAAAAAAAAGAATATTAAATAATTAGCAGACGATGAATTTAATAACGCATTTAAAATTTCCAACTTAAAAGTTTAATTGAATATTGTTTAAGTGCGGGATTTACATTGAAATATTGCTTATGACCCACATACTTCGTCATCTTCAATTTCATTTTATTTATTTGTTTACTTTTATTTTTTCATTTATTCATTTCTTTAAAGAGATCGAATAATTTAGTAAATTATAAATTATGGAATTTCAATATTTAACATAGTATCTTCGGAAAAATAAGAACATTTAAATAATTGCTTTACTAGAGAGAGAGAGAAAAACTGTACAGTATTTTCTAATTTGATTGAAAAACTGAAATAGTCAAATTATACGAATTATATTTATGGATAGGCAATAAAATGTTATAAAAATCATTTTTACAAATTATATTATTTACTTTTAAACTGCCTTTTTATTTTCATTTCAATCTCCGAAAAGAAATTTCTGAAAAAATTAAAACTCTAGGTAAAAAAACATGATTAATTATAATATTTTCTGCATGCTCACGGATTTAATTATCATTTTGAAAATACATTGATTGAGAGAATTTCAGATTCAATTTACACTATTTTATAACATTTTTCACTGACCATTTAACTTTCTCTCTCTTTTTCTTTCTTACACTTATTCCACCCCCTTTATGAGGTTAAACCCATGCAGGTGGTTTAACCCAATAACCAGTAAGATAAATATGTCTTCCAATCAAAAGTAAGTTCTGTCCTTCTACCCTTAAAAAGAAACACCTGATCAACAAAACTATATGAAACCTCATAATTGGTGTTTTTCTCACGCTGCCAGAAAACGGACAGGAAATGCTAAAGGGTCAGCTTAAATCCCTCTATCTATCCCCTCAAAATAAAAGTAGGGTTGCAAATCCGTTGAATCCTCGTAAATTTAACATAAATATTAAAATTACTGTACACAAGAAGTTAAAAAGTAAGTTTCATTCGAGATTTGCGGAATATATCTTTTGAACTAGTTTAGATTGTTTTATACTAAATATAAGAAAAACATTAATAGAAGAAAAAGCAAAATCTCAAAACTAATTTTATGCTTTGAATTCCAATTTCGAACACACTTAAACATTTCGACGGCAAAAAAATTCAACTACGAAAAATTATCTCTTGAAAGAGTATTTATCTAAGGGATTCACAAAATATTCTATAAATTACTTAAAATTGATAAATATTTGCATCTTTTTACGATATAGCAAATAAATATTCATACAAACTACAGAACTGTCAACTCCTACACTGTAAAAGTAAGAAAAAGCGAATACTGTAAACTAATTTTGGACTTTGGATTCAAATTTTTATACGACAAAAAATTCAACTACCGAAAATTATCTCTTAAAGAGTATTTATCTAATGGATTCACAAAATATTCTATAAATTACTTAAAAATGATAAATATTTACATGTTTTTAAGACATGACAATATATATTCATACAAACTACAGAACGGTCAACTCCCGTACTGTAAAAAAAAATAAAGAAAGAAAGAATTCCTTAATATTGAGCAAAAATGTAAATATAAAAATATCTCCAGAAACATCTAGTCAGACTTAAAAATTCTTATTTATTCAAAACTGAAAGAGCACATACTCATTTTTGAACAAAACGCATGGTCTCAAAGTGTGAGGAATGTGGTGGGAGGAAAGTGTGAGAAGTGTTGTTGCCGGCAGGATTCGAACCAAGGACTCCGGGTTCGTAGTAGGATGTTTTTACCACCATAGTTGCACACTCCAATGCAGGGCAATTAAGAACCTTTATATATAATACTCGCCGCAATGTGCCAACACTAAACCATGATGGTGCACGACTTGCACCGAGAACAAACAGTAGTAATCAAATAAAGAGAGGCCAAACAAGCGACTTCTTTCTAAATCTAGCAACCATGTCACAATTTTTTAACAAAACATCTCTAAATAAGTAAAACAAAACTTTCATTTCAAACTCACTAGAATTCAGCTCCAGATCATTGTTATTTACGTTTATATTGAAAACATCATCTGAAGGGGGCATATTTTAAAAATTGCAGCTCTTTTTATCATAGAAATTGGAAATTAGTATGCCATTGCGGCGGCCACTGTGAAAAGCTTCATAACTATGCCTGGCAAGTGGTGTACAACTATGGTGGTTAGAGCATCCTACTACGACTTCGAGGTCGTAGGTTCAAATCCTGCCGACAATCAATGAACCTCTCAATCACACTTTTCTCCC